AAGTGTTGCGACAAAGTGGGATGTATGCAGTGGACTGCATATTTTTGCTGAGACACCTTAGGTGGCTCGGTCATGTGAGCCGTATGGATTCGACGGGGATACCGAAACAACTCTTGTATGGTCAGCTGAGTATTGGGAAGCGGCATGTGGGGAAACCAAAGTTACGTTAACAGGACATGAGCAAAGTGAGCCTCTCACGTTCTAATCTTGATTGCAGGTTATGGGAATCAAAAGCAGTTGATCGGCGTGCAGGGCGCGATCTAATCACGAAGGCATTTGCCGAAGTGCGGGAGGAAGACCTCACACATGCAGAGAAGAAGCGGCAAGTGCGGAAGCGGCAAGCACCGATGGGTTGTACTCCATCGACATCGAGCGCATGATGCTGCAGCACATGCGGTCGCGCGTGCCTGAGTCAGGCAGGCCTAGTAGCGAAAGCGAAATGGCAGTGACCAGGAGGTTCGCTCCTGTCAGCAAGAAAAGTGGGTGCATCTTGTGCGCTTTGCTTGTGCCAAACCTCCCAACATCCACTGTGACAGACAAACCCTTGCCCTGCCTGGGAACTGTCGTTCAGACGTTTAAGTCGGGTGTACCTAGGTATCGGCTTACGTTTTCTCAAAGCGAATAGGCAGCAAAGATGGGAAATTAGAAAGGGAGAAATACGAAAAAATATCACGAAGTTAGTTACCAAGGCTAGGCACCGAATAAAAGGGTACAACTGGATTCGCTTGCGTATCTGAACCTGAACCGTTTGGGATCTAAACGAAGGTTAAATGTTGCCTTCTCGTAAAACCACACCTCATTACTGGTTTTTTGATTGCTAAAAACCTTTAAATACTGAGAGACTCACAGGAGAGCGCACCTTGGGGCATCTAGATTGACGGAAAATTCCTGTGCTAATGCACAACCGAGCTCTGGTAACAACGCTTGCCACCAAGCTTAACTTCGGAGTGAGTGACGGTCCAAAGTACAATTCCGTGTCGTAATCCATTTACACAAAGGAAGTCCCCAAACATAGTTGTACTATTGATCATTCGAATACCGTCCATCCAGCCGTCATGCATTCGTCACGGAATAGGCCGACGCGGAGCGTCGGCGCTGAATGCTATTGTACGAGTCAGAGACATGGTCAGCACCTGCTGAGGGTAGTAACAGACAGGCCGATCATGACCATCAAATCCATACTCGGAGCACCCACCGGTTGGTTTGGCTCAGTTCGGTTTATCAACGTTGATCTGTGCACCAAAGCATTTACGCTGACATAGATTTAGCGGTAACCCAAGTTACGAGTCCAAAATGCGGAAGGATGAAACGATAAGCGTTTAATTTTACGATGAAAGGCTTCCTATGTATTAGCTATAAGACGACACCAAGAATGAGTTGTTAGCTAGAGGGAACTGAAGCCGTGTAGGACGCGCTGCAGTTGTGTTATACAGTCCAGCCGAGGCGTCAAGCAAGTCGGTGTTTGATCCAAACAAAAGAACCAACATGCAGTACAATGTTGCGCATCGATCGCGTAATTGCGCAAAACTATAGCAACCTTACACAACGAACCCAAGTGAATTTGGAAAACTCCCAGGCTGTTACAACATAACGAAGCCAGTAATAATGATAATTGAAGCGAAATAAGAATTTAGATGGCCAGATGGAAGACCCAAGGGTCCGAAGTGAGGAAACGATTGCAAGAGCGCCAGTGACCCAGTGACCACACCAATCCAATCACTAATGTGACCAGTTCCGAAGACCGAGATGACAAGCACCAACTTCCGACTTAGCTATTCAATGAGTTTCGTCTTGTTGTTTTGCTGTTACTGACTGAGTACCTCGGGAGTTCACTCAATTAATCGCTGCATTAAAAACTACATAGTGGGGCATTCGGCTGACAGATAAATGGAACACATGACCGAGCCAATGAAGGCGAGTAGAGTTTAACTGGCACTCCAATGAGGCGCCGGAAGGACTAGTGCCATGCACCGATTGATGAACATCCGTATTACCCCGTCAGCACTGCTACCGAAGATAACCAGCAATTCGCAGCCAGCGGCTTTCAAGCACAGCATGTTTCCTAACGTCCCCAGTGCGACGCGGCCTGGTCTCTGATCCGAACAGTGGCACTGACCGCAATGAAGCACTGTAAATCTTCTCCTTTGTCAAGATGCTTACATCCCACTGTCTGCCTAAATGACCGGCGCTTTTTAAGTCATATGAACCTTAGCAATGCGTGCAATAAACTCTTCCTTGGTATGCGCTAGAGGTGATACAGATAGCTCGATAAGTAAACCGATTGACAACTGCAAGTGGTTGCTCCGTAGTGGTAACATCTGGTGGTGGGTTGGTCTAGCTCGATGACAGTAATTTGATGGTGGGAATCGCATGCTTAAGGAGCAGTACTACCGGTCAGAGTACTTAGTAGCGTTCGCACAGCATCTTTCAGTTGGTGCTCGGTGAAAAACCTGGCTTCCCCCAAGGTGTACACTTAACTCGAACCGCTCCTGTCCAAAACATCACGTTCTGTGCATGCTCACCTAATGACCAAACCTGTCATGTTGTGTTTGCCGGTATCGGGGCCTAGATGGGTGGAGCCCCACAGCAGCAATGTGTCAGCTGCACGTCGTAACGGCGCTTCGCTGCCGTGCGACTACCACCAGTCGCGCGCGGGCTGAATATACCGCGAGGACGCCCACCGCTACGCGGATTCGAACCGGTGACCTTGTGGTTGCAAACCAAACGTGCAGACCACTCAGCCACCGACCGACACAGCAGCAATGGCTCGGATGGTTATGAGTGATTCGTTTGGATATGGCCCCTGGGGGTTGGAAACACTAGTAGTCGAGAAGTTAATGACACAGTTGTGCTCAGTTTAATACTCCCGACTGCTTAAGTCTACAGTTCATGACAGTGTTTCGTTGTCACGTTTCCGCTGGGCTCCTATTCACTTATGATTTGTCCTATCTTTTTCTAGCTGACTAGTTTTAGTATGACGGAAAACGAACCGCGGTGTTCAAAGGATAACTGACCGACAGAATTGAAGTGACATACTGCGATACTGTGTTGGACCAGTGGAGGCTACGCGATAGTAAATTAACATGAAACTTTCACCTTTCGTACTAAGTATATATATACGAGGGTTGTTGATAAGTTGCTGCCTTCGCCCCCTTTCACACAAAATAGGGGGAAGTGTAGAGGCACATGAAACTTTAATATCTTAGTATCAAATGGTGCAAATAGGAGTTTGTGATTTTATCAAAGTGACATTTTTTAGGCAGAAGCTGTGATATCAGAAGCAGAAGCAAGTTTCACGTCGCTTGAGTTACGGCCCGTCATAACGCTTTTGTTTTTCCAGAAGGTCTGAGGAAACTTGCAATAAGTTGTCACAAATAATGGGGGATACGTGTCCTTCCAACAGCACTGTCAAAACATGGATGTCTCGTTTCAAGATTAGTCATTTCAATATGCAAGATAATCTCAGTAAGGAGCGTTCCCAAGTTTCAACTGATCCAGCAACCTGCGAGGCTATCCATGAACTGAGTATGGAGAACCGGCGAATATCCGCTAAAAAGATTGCCTAAATAGTGGGTATCTCAAGGGAGCGTGTTAGGCTTTTTTTTCTTACTATTCTTGATATACGTAAGCTTTTAACAAAGTGAGTGCCGAAACGTTTGAACAGTGATCAGAAATAGAAACGAATTGAATCACCCGAAAATACGTTGGCCAATGTTAAGCTTGCACAGGAGGTTTTGACTACGTCAGTGACTGAGGAAGAAACCTAGGTTTAAATACATGATCCTGAAGCCAAGGAATAGTCAAGCGAACAGTGCCGCAATGGGTCCCTGCGGCCGAAGAAGTTTCGCACCCCCAAAATCATCCAGAACATCATGGTGTCAATTTTCCGGGAAAAAATCGGTATTCTGTCGGCGGACTACGTTCCTCAGGGTTCCAGTAGCAGGGAAAGTATTACGCTGATTTCCTGGACCAGAAAAGCGAGGCGATTAAGGGGAAACAGCGTAGAAAAGTCAGCAAAGGCATTTTTTACCTGCAGGCCAATACATCTGCGCGTACGTCTAACATTGCACCTGCCAAATTGAACACTCTGGGATTCCAATTGGTCAACCAACTCCTACTCATCTGATCTAGCTCCGTAAGACTACTCCGAACTTGAAGGGGCGTCGTTTTATGGTATAAGACTAGCTGCTGACAGTTGGTTTGAGGCAATGTAGCCCAGCCAACGTTCCCTATAGTTCGGTGGCTTAAGCTGCTGGCTAGTTGGCATCTGCCTCTAGCGGTCATGGGTTCAATCCTCCTTAGTGGACCGAAAGAATGCGCACCAATAGGGCGAAACGCGCCTGATGCCTTTCAGGACTAGGTTTGTGAACTATTGGGAGGAAAACATCAGAATTATAACTAAAATCCTGCTACTCGTGAGTAACATAAAATCAAATGACTTGTATCGGATCGGTCAAGAAAAACTGCAAATACAATGTGCCACATGCATCAGTTCCAGAAGTAATTATAGTGAGTAAATGTGTCACCTAGTGATTCTAACCCTCTACTCTTTTTCGTCAAAGCCAGGAATTTATCAGCACCCCATTGTATACATGACCGAAGATAAGCTGAAAGGGGCAGTGGAAAAAGCTCCATACAACAGTACTATGGCAAACGTTGCAAGTCTAGGCAAAAATAAGCATAAACGCAGAGATCGGAATAGTTTGGAGGTTTGGTGACAGCAACAGAGAGGATTACTTTTTACCAGCAGACGACAGATTTCACTATGGTGTGGTTGAATAAGCACACAAACACAAGGTAGTGGTCTAGCTCTAAAGTGACGGTAGAATAAGACCAGTTTACACAACCTGAGAGCTATTAACCAGACTCCTCCTAATCGATACGACTATACTAAAGCCCAAAATCATAGAAGGCACAAAAAATTTATTGAACGATTATAAAAATAGGGGTACAAAATAAAATGCTTCCGCTATAAAAAAAACACATAAAAATGCACAAAATCACTTTCCTAGTTCAGAGCAGAAGGATTCTGTTTTAATTTTGAATTCGGCCAATGAACGTTGACGATCTTCCAGAAAAGAAATGACTGCGGGTGAGCGCAACAATGCCAGCTTTTTGGTATCTAAAACTGCTTCAATGAGCTTGTGGTAATTCGGAGTATTGGTTTCCCGGGCTGAAGTGCCACCATTGCAGGTAGACCCTCCTCCAGAGCTGGATGATGACAAAGGCCCATTAGTGGAAGCGGTCTACACAAGAAGTAAAAGGTAAACAATGCGACAGACAGTGTGGGAGTGTAGTGAAATCCAGTAAAACGTGTCCGCTGAGCCATAAATCGGATAGGTGAAAAGCCCAGGTGTGCATGCAGGTTACATTGGACACTCAAAGTATAAGGCAGAAATAAGGTGTACGAAGACGTGGTGTAACTGCGGCCTTGTCTGTCTAGGAGGATGAAACCGAGACGGAAGATGTCAGACGAACGGGATAAGCGAATGGAATCATAATCCCGGTGATTCAGGATTGAGACGAATGCGGGTCGCGCGTTACAACAAATGTGTAGCGACCTGGAGATTCCCCCGTATGACCGTGTAAACTATTCTAAAATATTCAAATTATAGCTTTCTTATGTATTAGGGAACTATTCGGTTCGCCTGTTGGAACGTTGTTCCCGTTTGGTGGAAACACGAAAACGATCTCCGCCTTTGGTGCGCGACTCCACTGCGAACGACGCTCTGTCAACGCACTCGACGCCAACGAATTCTCCCTAGCTAGCTCTCTCCGGGTGCCATATTTTTAGCATTAGCTAACGCTCCTCCCGTCCAATAAACTTTTCCCTAGCTTACCCTTGTGCCTTCTACCCATTGCTTTTGGTTGACCGTCTAGTCGCGTACCGGATATATAGCGCACGATCAAGAAGCTATAAATGCACTTGCGAAACTGCCCGACAGCATCGTCCATATGGTAGAGATGAGAACAGGAGAGACAAATAGAGAACCAAAACGCTGAGCATCAGTTAAAAGCCTACTCCGACGCACAAGCAGGTATAGTGATAAATAAGAAAGGCACAGAGAATCGTGTGCACAACGGTCGCATAGAAGACATCAGTGCCCCTCGGTGCATCCTCTCTTCACTGTTGTCGAAGACTAAAGAGCATTGCACACAGGTGATTCGTCCCGAAACAACCATAATGATACTAAGGGATAACAGAAGCGGATGGAGATCTAATAAACCTAAAAGTCTCGGCATATATATATATATATATATATATATATATATATATATCGCTGGATGCCATCGAACACCCACTTGGCTTCTATCATCCAGGCAACTTTCTTGTCTGTTCGTAACAGCTCGCAAATGAGTGACGCCGATGTTAAAACTCCCAACGAACTTGTTGTAATACCCGGATCGGTTTAAAAGCGCTCTAAGACTGCGTTTTGAGGTCCGAAATGGTGTGATTCAAATTGCCCATATCTGCTCCGGCGGCAGCCAGAACTCACCCAGATACACCCAGTTTCCAAGCAGTGTTACAGAAACTTCCTTGATCTGAGATTTACGCGCGTTAATCCGTAATCTTGAATACTTAATTTGTTGTAACGTTGCTTCCAGATATCGGCAGTGCCCTGTCTCTGTGTGACTATACATAATGAGATCGTCTCCGTACACAACCATATACTCAAAGCCATTGACCAGTAAGCGCAAATTCAAATGCCGGAAGGTGAACAGGGCACCAAGCGAGCAAAGTAATCTCTTTTTAAAGTGGTAATTGTTGCAAACTGTAGACACAGTCTCCTTCCGGACTTTTGTTTGATCGCCAGCTGCCAGTTCTCAGGTCCAGCAGCAAAAATGTCTACAACTGATGGCACCGGGACGAAGCGATTCAATGATATTTAGTCAGTCTTCTAAAGTCCGCGTAGAAGCGATAGTTCCCGTTGACCTTCGCCACCAAAATGACTGGACGATAATACGCGACGTTACCATCCACGATTGCATCCGCACAAAACATCACTTACACTTACCTCTTGACCTCTGCCTCTAAATGAGTTGGTACTCTCCGGGGTCCATGCGGCCGGTACATCTGACGTGACAAAGGAATCGTGTGTTTGATATAATCACAAAACCCTTAGGGACTAAGGTCGTCCGTAAAAATGAGGTGACACTTGCTGACAAGCGATTGCAAGACTCAACAGTCTGTGTGATGCCCGAAAAGCTACTAACGCCGAAACCTCACATTCGACAACACCGTACTATCCTTCTGTGTATGCTTAAGTTAACGTAACCCAAAACAGATAGGGCACGAGACTGCGCTTGTAAGCCCGTTAAACACCCTAGACATTGACGCGATTGGATAGTCCTCTCAGATGTTTGGGAAGTTGTGGATGAGGCGCATGCCAAATAATGTCTCTTATTCAGTGGAAATTAATTAACCGGTTAAATTCATTGTAACTTGAAATTGCAAACTAGCAGAACTTAAATGTTACAGGGAGATCAATCTGATCAGGGGAATGTAGTCATGGCCAGAAATCAAGGCAAACACATAGCTGTTTAAAAGTTGCATAGATATACTGAAATAGTTGACAGCCATTCAGGACAAACTGCAGCGCTTACCCCGCGATTTTCTAAGTGCTGATTGTGACCAGCGGCTGCGGCGGCAACAGCGGCCACGGCAGCATGGTGAAATAATGGATAAGCGGGTGCTTGTTGGTTGTAGTATCTTCTGTTGAAGTGACCAAAACCATTCAGGTAGTGGGAGAGGTGCGGTTGCAAACTGCTGTTAAATCCAGCGCCTTCGAAACCCATAAGGACGCAGGTGAATGACAGTCGCCAGCTAAAGATAGAAAAAGAAACCTGCAGTGAATTCACTAGAGAAAAGCATGACGCAAAAGGTCACAAAACAACGTTAACACTGCTATGGGAAACAAGGTTTAGCTGCTGTAGAGAGAACCAAGTAATAAAAAGGATAATACGAGGTGAGCCAAGCTGTCCAAGTGCAGCACTGAGCGGGGATTCCACAATGTCTCAAGTGCATGAACCTAGATCGAAGCACACTGTCCAACTTGGAAACATTCGTCTGCGAACATAGCTACTGTGTAGTGGAAGTCGTAACCTCGGAGGCCAGCCACTGTCCTCTGCAATGGTAGGAAGCTGCACGGTAGTGGAGGGGAGGGTGCGCTATTTCCTAGTCAGCTTGCAAGTTCTGAGCATTTTCCTCCGTCTCCCATTGCTTAGTAGCATAAGCTGCTGATTAGTTGGCAAAAGCTGGTAGTGGCCATGGTTTCCATCCCCAGAGGAGACTGCAGGAATGCACATCACTGACGAGCCCCAATAGGGCAAAACGATCGTCTGGTGCTTTTCCGGATTGAAGATAGAATAAGCTGGCTTCTAAGCAGCTGGGATAAAACAGTAAAAAGCATCATGTGGACAGTAACGTAGGATGGAGCCAATTAGCTTGATTCACGTCATATATATATATATATATATATATATGTGTGTGTGTGTGTGTTACCCACTACCTCGTTCTACTGGCTCCAGGAGACAGTTGGTCGTTGCTGGAGGGGACGGGGGTGCACGGTCCTTGTGGCCGTGTTAGGATCAAAGAGTGGTTCCATGCACTCAGTGTGGAGCGGACTACGGCCCATCCACCGCCTTGTGTGCGGATGATTCCCCAAATACAGCGTGATCGTGTTTGCCTGTGAAGGAGAGTGGGCCGGCTCCATTGATGAAATGTGGCTCCCATCCACATGCCTCCTGGTCTTATTCCTTCGAGTTTACACTGGATATGGGGTGCGTGGATGGAGCTGTGGGTGGTGCAGCGCAAGCCACCCATAGTCGCTCTGTAGGCGCAGGCGTCCTGTGGCTGGCCAGAGTGACAGGCAAATCCGAAACCGGATGACGCCATATATATGTATATATATATATATATATATATATATATATATATATATATATATATATATATATATATATATATATATATATATATATATATATATATATATGTGTGTGTGTGTGTGTGTGTGTGTGTGTATGATCGACGGCAAACAGAGAAAAGTGACAAAAACAGTTGATCGGAAGGATTGAGGTCTAGTTTGGACCAAAAGGAGGTACCAATACAGAAAGCGTGTCGTAATTCAAACACAGGGAGCGTACTCCAAACCCAACTTTGAAAAGATGAATTAAAAGAGCAGGAAAAGTCCATGATTGCTGGGATGGAAGAGTGAGGAAACGAAATATGAAAAACGGGAGTGAGCTAGAAGGCGTAACTAAGTTTATGACAGTGCCACATCCATCAAAGCTTCGAATCATTTGTGGTCGATTCCGATGCCCTAATTCTTGGGGCTGGCGGGCATTAACCCGATCTATCCATCTGACCAATTTCATGCCTAGGTTGTGGATGATTTGTCCAACAACCTTCCCGTGGTATCAACTAGGTGGCTCGGGAATCTCCCGTTCCAATAAATGGTTCAGTGACAGTGTTCCAGGAGTTGGTGGGTTTCACCTTGACAAGTGCTCTGTCTATAAAAAGCCACAAATGTCTGCTTAACATCATCGCGACGTGGTATGTGCGACTTATCACTAAATATAGTCACTGCCCCTTGTCTTTCTTAAAGGCGTTGTACACCGGCAAGCGATCCAAGTATCGGATTTTGCCTACGATGTCGGTAGCGCTTGGCCCCTGGTATGGATTGGTGCCATCCGAAAGTCACATGGACTGAGTGATTAGACACAGACTCCAAACGGGTTCGAATCTCTTATCTCGCCCTGCTGCCTTGTGTGTTAGGCGCTTTGGCCGAAAGAATAGGACGGTTATCTTCTAATATAACCTAACTACTTCGGCTAAGACAACCGGGTATTGCCTCGCACACTTAATGAACCACGAGACTGCACTCTCTTGTTCTTACGATCGTTTACTCCCCTGCACTACGCCAAATTTGCAATCATGCCACTCACTTATGTACCCTCCCTTTTTATCATTCATACCATGTTACTTGATTTCCCAATGGCGAACAGTCCTACTCCCATCAATGAATTTATTCCCCTAACATCCGCCATTTGAACCATACTGCTTCACAGAGGGCCACCAACAACAGCCTCCCACCAGGACTTCTAAAGCCTGTAACTCGATTCAACCTAGTTTAATATACGCACTTTAATGAAGACCGGACAACAAGCTGCACTTGCACGCATCCCGGAGACTCTTGCGACTGTTGTCTGCTGCCTGACTGATACACGAGTTCAGGATTCCGACATCACATACCAGTTGTCATCACCGATCTACTTACAGAACCGTTTCCATCTTAGCTCTTCTGGTGACGCTGAGTCTGACGTATCTACGCACACTGTTGTTGGAATCGCCCTCAGTGCTAGAGGCGAGGCTGCCCCCTCTTGTTTGGATCGCAATACACCGTCGTCTTTGTACTGTGAGATATCATGGATATTGCAAAGTCAACAGAGTCGACAAACGGGCTTTTGGGGATCTGTCTGCGCGCCCACTGGCTGTAGCCGGGACCGTGTGTGTCGGGAAGTGTTGATGAAGCAGACACAATAAATCCGGATAGTTATGCTGTGGGACTCGATAATGTTGCCATTCGTACCAGACGCCGATCCACTTCCACAGACCAGTACACGCTGGATGTTGCGGCTCAAGAGGCTACTACGGTTACGTAATCTTCCGGATGAAAACGCCGGCGGTGTTGTATCAGCGCCCGTCCAGTTCGAAAATGATGATCGTAAACAGGGCAGATAGTAGTCAGAGCGGCTATTAACCGACAGTTCGCAGCGTGCTGAATGTGGTATCCTAACGTCGTTTAAGACCGGCTGTAGCAGTAAATCCAAAGTGTTAGAAATCGCAGATACAGTCCCTTTCGGAAGTATTTGACGAGGGCGAAGTGGATGAGGCCGCAAAATCAGGTATGACGAAATCCAACATAAATCAGCGGTGAGACAGGAGGACAAGCAACAGATAGCAGGTATGGGCTGAGAATCGCAGATCGTGCAACAAAAGATAAAAGAGCAGCACAAGTCCACTGGGGAAAGAAATCGACAAGAGGATAATGGATGACTGAACATCACTAGTCCAGAAACAATGAGAAGCGGAAAGTAAAAGACGAAAAGGTACACAATAACCCGCAGTGTAATAATACGAGTTGTTTGTAAAAGTCACAAAATCAGTAAAAGATGGGAACTGAGTAGAGAAACGCCATGCGGTGGAGTAGGAAGGATCCATGACTAAGAAGGGGAAAAACGGCCTAATGACTTCCAACGTAATAATTATTATAGGCAGCAATCTATTAAATAGACATAGAGCCAAACAAAACCATGGAAATCAATAAAAGAAGACAGGTTTAACACCGTATCATCATCATGGCACATTAACTGAAGGTGAGCAACACACTTCAGCCATTGTGTCGAAATAAAAGAAAAATGGAACCTTCCTTTTAGTTCACATGCGTCTTTCTTTTAGCTTTTTGCGATTTTCAGTCGCTAAGCATTAAGCATCCAAATCTAAACAATTATGTACACTGATCCTTTACTGGTTTCGATTATGAGCCATTTCTTGAATTGTTTCCAGTAGTCGGCACGCCTCATCCTTTGGTCCCCTACCAGGCAGACCTGTGGATCCAATGATGACAAGATGTGAAGCTAACGATTTCATATGCTGTCGCCAGGTCGATAGTGGACCACCATGTGGTCACTTACAGTTGAGTCCTACACGAGCAGAGCACGACAAACGCTCAGCTGACAAACGCAGGAGGTGACCGAGCCAGCTTAACTGACGCACTAAAACCAGCTTGTTGAAGGGAATACTCGCATTCCCTAAGACACGACGTTTGTCTTCAACGTTGCAGACGTATTGTTGCCACCACACACGAGCAATCCTTCACAAGCAACAGTTGTCGAAGGCCGAGAGTCGGCGTATGTCGTCTACGCGAAGTGGCCATGACTCGCTTCCATACAGCAACACCCAGGTTGACAAACGCCAACCGAGCTTTGGCGTTGTTTGCACAAGGTGTAGGCGCCTTGACCCTGAATGTTTGCTTAGGGCATTAAGGTTTTCAGGTAAGTCCCCCTTTCTCTCCCTCTTCTTATTCTTTATTTCATAGGTTCTCATGGTTGTATGGCAGCGAAGCATCAGTTCAAATGGCTGATGTACCGCTGTTGATGATGATTTCCAATGGTACCACCAGCAGACAGCTGCCCAGGTAGACATGTTAAAGCTGTGTACCATCAATAGCGAACACGGGAACGGTTGAGTGCCAATCCTGAAGCAACACTTTACAGTTTGACGGAGAAAAGCACATTCCATACCTAGCTGCCTCAATCGCCAAATGGTCTAGAATGGTTTGCATGCTCTGAGTCGATACCATCTAAAGTGATATTATCGGCATAATCTAAGTCGTTTGCTCGCTGATCCGGTAGTAGCTGTAAATCAAAATTTTGGTAACAGACTAGTGCTCTCGACAGGACATTTTCAATCGCAAAACTGAACAGAAACGGGGACATAGGACAGTCCTGTCGTACACTGTTATTGGCAGCGAAGGACGACGAAAGCCTGCCACACACCCTCACTCTGCTGCAGAAGTGGAAATACAGAGCGCTTAGGATGGCACTGTACTTTTCTGAGACCCCGTTCCTTAGCAAACGACACCATAGTGCAGGTCGATCAACCAAGTCGAATGCGGCGCGGATGTCCAGGAATGCAACGATGGTAGGTCTCCGGTAAAAGTGGCGGTGTTCCATGGTTTGACGGAGGGTGGATATCTGATCCACACACCCGCGGCCAAGTCAGTAGCCAGCTTGTTCTTCCCGGCACTGCGATTCGCGAAT